ATTCCCTGAATAAATAGAAATTGCATGACATGAACAACTAAAAAAATATATTAAATCAATGAAACAACTCTTTGGGAACTATTATCTTCAAGACAAGATGCATTACATCACTTCTGTTTGATTATTTAAGATGCATAATAATGTAATTAAAGCTTAAAAATAAACGAAAAAAGCAAACAAATCAATTATTTCCATAAGAAAGCATGGAAGATTTCAAAATTGATAAATGTGTTTTCTTTTTTTCTTTTTAGGTCACCTGAGTAAACTCAGGTGACCTATTGCTATCTGTTTTCGTCCGTCGTCGTGCGTCGTTCGTCGTGCGTCGTTCGTCGTGCGTTAACATTTGAACATTTTCAGCTTCTTCTCTGCAACCACGGATCCAATTTCCAACAAATTTGGCACAAAGCATCTATGGGTGAAGGGAACAAAAATTGTGAATTTCATGATCCCTGCCCCCCTGGGGCCTGAGGGGTGGGGCCAAAACCACTAAAATTAGTGCAATCTTTAAAAATCTTCTTCTTTACTCCTGGACATCAAGCAGTCAAACTGTTTGCATGATTGTAATCAGCAATGAGTCCTCTACCAAAATTGTGAAATTCATGGCCCTGGGGTCAGGGGTTCTAGTGCTAGGGCGGGGCTAAATAAGTAGGTAGTGAAAATGCATTATTTCTTTGAAAATCTTCTTCTCTGCTCCTGGGTATTAAATAAACCAACTAAGTACATAGTTATGATGAGCAAGAGTGCCTCTACCAAAATTGTGAATTTTATGGCCCCAGGGTCAGGGGTTCTGGTGTTAGGGCGGGGCTCTAGTGATTATATATAGTGAAAATACATTAATTCTTTGAAAATCTTGTTCTCTGCTCCTGGGTATTAAATAAACTAACTAAGAACATAGTTATGATAAGCAAGAGTGCCTCTACCAAAATTGTGAATTTTATGGCCCCAGGGTCAGTGGTTCTTGTTTTAGGGTGGGGCTCTAATGATTATATAGTGAAATGTATGAATTCTTTGAACATCTTATCCTTTGCTCTTGGTTAATATGCTAATGATCTAATTACATATCTGGGGCCAGGATTTATTTTATTTTCAGTTTTACAAACCCCCCGCTCAAGGTTTTGAACTTTTAGAAAAAAAAAAAAATTCTTTCGGATGTCAAATTTGAGTCGGGATCGAGATTTCAAATTTACGAACTCGCACTTCCGGTTTTTAGACCTGAAACGGCGGGTAAATAAAGCTAGATCCAAGAATTTGGCATGGTTTAGTGTAAAATTCATCGATAAGAGTGCCATTCAAAACGTTTCACCCGTTCAAAGGACAAATAAAATGCTGACGACTTTGTTGCACAATGACATGCTGGTGAGATAATTATGTATTCGTTTCAAAAGTAACTGTAAATTATTTTCCTCCCCAGGTTTTAAACTGCCCGTGGTAGCTATTGCATATTGCCAGGGACATTGTTTAGGTCTCTGTTATAGCTTACAGTCTAAGCATCATTCTTCAGAAAATTGTTGCTTATGCATCAGATGTAATGAATAAAACTATGGGAGAAGTGAAGTCCATTTGAGGAAGAAATAAACAATAACCTGAAGTGAAGAAATAAAAAAGAATTCAACTATTAAAAGGCAAGAATATACAAATATATGTAGTATCATTTGTATCAGCCAGAAAAATTATTTTACACTTAATTGAAAAAATGTTGACCCTACTCCCCAAAACTTCCTGTCTGTTTTATGATAGGAATTATAATTTTAGGCATCAAGTAAATTTTAGAACAATGTCTACACATTCACCTAACACATATTAAGAAAATGAAGATGTATTGAAAGACTTTTAAAGAATTGATTTTTAAAAATATATTTTGATCAACATCACAAAATTTATATAACTGGCCCAAACTGGCAGATGATGAAATAAGCAATTAAATGTTCTACTTTCCTATTTGTAAGCATTATGTGTCCAGTGGTAAAGAGCCTATTAGGATAGCATAAAAAAAGAATGTACAAATGTTAATAATTGATTTATCAAAAAAATTTATTTCCTTTTCCTTCGGGACTTTTTTATTCTCATGTTCATAACTCAAACCTAAACATAAAAAAAAAATGCTGGCCTTATAATGAAGAAAGGGTCCTCTTCAAAATAGATAATTTCAGGAGTGCTGGGTCAGGGGTACCAAGGGGGTACTTTGACTAAAAATAAATTATTGCTTTGAAATCTGAAAAGCAGTGGTGCCTCTTTCAAAATTTGTGAATTTCATGGCTTTTGGCTTAAAACACAAACCAAATACAATCGCTGGAATGTTGTTACATGATACTCAGGTGACCTATAAGGCCCGTGGGCCTCTTGTTTTAATCAAAATTACGTGTTATATATTCAAGCTCAGAGCTAAATGCAAATATACACAAAAAGTCAAATACCAAATTACATCAGACTTCTTTAAAATTGTGGTGCCTGTCAAATTATAATCAAATGGTATAAAATACGATCTCCAAAGTACAATAACGGGGAAATCACTTGCTTATACCTGGACTCCTCTGTTAGGATGCCGGCGATTGCAAGCTTAATGGATAGGTCAGTAAATGCCAAGTTTAGATTTAAAAAAATCGTGTTCCTCTACTGCTGTATTATTCAAAAACTTCCGTTTAAGTTGCTCTTCATTGAAATGATTTTCCAGAATCCATCCCAATTTGCATTCATATCCAACATACTCCCAAGCTGGAGTATATTATTTGTCAACCCTATTTTCATAAAGTAGTAGATGTTGATTGCAAATTTAAACACAGTTTAACCAATGTATTCTTACAATAAAGCAAGTTACTAGTAATTTTCAGTATACTTTACTCAATTCTTTTATATGAAATCGAGAAGGATATTGTACTATTGAACCATTAAATATAATAAATATTTCTGCAATGTGCCCATTGCTATACAGCAAGTATATTTTGCTTTTTGTTACGCATTTCACACGTTAGCTTACAAATCATCATTCCAAGAAAAATGAGGGTCTTGCAATAAAAGCGTCAAACGTGTTAAACTTGAATGAAAATAATTATTCAAAATTTCGCGGGTTTCTTGTCTCATCCGCTTCCTTTGCCTTTTAAAATTAGATTCCGGCAATTGCCAGTGCTTTTTAAAAACTTCTTTCGTATCTGTAAGATAACGAAAAATTAAATTTACTGTATTTTTCAATTAATGTCCATCTTATATATATATATATATATATATATATATATATATATATATATATATATATATATATATATAAATTAAATGAATGAATGAAAATAAATTTTGATATAATTTAGTCTAAAAAATATTTGGTTTAATTTATTTTTATGAATCTTAACTTTCTACAGAGAAACTAAATCAAATATATTATATATTTGCATTATATAAAAGCTATTATGACTATTAAAAGGAAAACTATATACCTATTTCTAAAAATCTGAAAACTTGGTTTAAAGTATGGGACGGGTATTTTACATAATCTTCGTGACGGAGAATGAGAACTTGTTTTCTAGGAAATACACTGAGCCAGTCTTGCAAGTGTATGTCGTAAAGACTTTCTGTTATTGGTGCCTGTAAGAAGAATATTTATTTTTTTTTAATCAAAAATCGACTCAAAAACGTTTGAAATGGATTTGTTTATCATATAATATGTGCGAAAATATACTTTACCTGATATTTTTGGCTGTAAACACATTGTCGTGTAGTGAAAATTAATTTGCAATTATTAAGTTCTTTAATTGACTTTAACACGTCAAAATGAAACTCAACGGCACTTCTTGTTCTTCCTTTTTCATTCATGTAATGATCAAATAACCTATAAACACACAAAGATAATTAATTATAATTATGCATAATGATAAAATTGTTTCATCACTATCTAAGTTTACAAATTAATTTTAAACTCAATGTCCTTCAAAAAATTGTCACAGATTCTCTGTAAACATTTACAGGGTCTTTTTTAAATTTGGTTTTACAAGATGACGATATTTACAGTGGAGCCTCATTTATCCGGACGCTTTGGTTTCTAGTCAATTTCTAGAAGAAAAAAAAATGTCACGGAATGGATTTCTTGATAGCATTTAAAAATTCCATGAAAATATACGGCAAATAAAATAGATGAATATGCTCCTAAATTATTTTGTCTTCAAAGGTCTACATTTGGTATAGTGTCCAAATGTTTATTGACTTTAAAAGAATGGAAACTTTGCTATTACCAGCAATAACATACTTGCACCGTTAAACCCCAACCGTGCAAAGTCCATTAAAAAAATAAAATTTCCTGAATTTACCCATTTTTATTTATTTTTGACAACACATTTCGGAGATTTTGAGCCATGAAAATAGGAATAACATTCCACACTGTCAACCATCATTATATTAAAACGCAGTTTTAAAAATATTTAGCAGAGATAATCATATTAGAAATGCAATTATCTCTCTTGTTTCTAAGACAACAATGTTTGTTTAGTCTTATATGACTGTACCATACCTGTCAGCTGGATGACGAAGCATCAAGATAAATTTTGTTTCCGGTTGAATATGCCGAATGAGATGCGCAGTTATAAACGCTGGCTCCATGGAATCGAGGTTGTTTTGCCGGATATGCTTCCAACATTGCGTATTCGAAAAATCCTCAACGTCCAAATAACCTATTTCATTTCATAACTGATGAAATCGTGTTTTATAAATAATAACAACCATTTCAAAATTTTCTACTTTAATACTGATCAAATGCTTTATCAATTATTAATATTTTACAATATGAAAGTTTGAATACTTAAGTATATGTATTGAAGTAACCCCCCCCCCCCCTCCAAAGAAAATTGCATCGATTTAAGGTACTTCGTTTTCTTGAGTTTGTAAATAACTTACCTGACACCATATCTGTTGATGACAAGTTGGAGTAAGGAAAAAGATCTGTAAATTCATTCAAAGTAATGGGTGTTCCTATTAAAAATAAACATGCAATAATTACAATTTATATTACATTATTGATTAAACTTAAGAGAACATTTATTTTTATATACTTTAAAATTTCTCTGTTGAGAGCATTTTACTTAAAAAACTTAAATACCAATTATTAATTATATACTTTTAAGTAGTGAGAAATTTTGATACCTTTTTTGTACCTATGTTTTGACCAGAAACCTTCTTTCACTGCACTTTTATCAACTTCATATGAAAACACCTTAGGGTGTTGTGAAATTTTCAGGAACAACTCGTCAACAGCAGTTCCAGTAGAACCGATGACGTGAAAATATGGCAAGCACTGTATTCGCTGGTTTGTGGTGTTGTTCCAGCATGGTGACTTTAAACCTTTCAAAAATTGTTTCCGTGGCTGAAAAAAAAAATCATTTATTGCATAAAGGCCTTGTATGCGTGTTATTTGAGGATTTTTTCACCGCATTTTATTTTTTAATTTAAAGACACAGATACTTGTATTTTGAAAAGTAAGGGAAATTTAAAAAATAATTAAAGAGCTTACTTCAATTAGGGGGCCTTTTACCCATTTGATGAATATAATAATAACATAATCACTTAACGACAATATCAACTGCTCGGTTTTATGCTAATGTATAAAACCTTAGTCTTATATGTAATTACTATTCGAATAAAAGATTTTGTGACAAGTAAAACAGATACTAAAACTTATGAGAAAAATACAACTATCAGTCTTTTTTTTAGTAATTACCACGTCATTAAGGTCTTCCGTTTCCAACGGAAGACCTTCTACTGATTCTGTTGGTAAAGATTATTATTCTTTTTTTTCTTCTGCTTCCTAGACCGCAACTTTGAGGCCTCATATCTCACTCATTTCTCAACGGATTTCGCTCAAATTTTCAGAGGTTATAGACGTTTATAAACTCTATCAGAATGCTGACTAAAATTTCAAAAAGTCACTTCCGGTTTTGAGTTATTTTCCTTTAAACGAAAATTTATAGGCTTTCGTTTCCAGACAAAGGCTCAGAGACGGCTAAAGCTGGAGCAGAAATTCTACTGATTTTAGATAAAAGAAGGATTGAAGTTGTGCACATCGGTTTTTGTTTTTCGATTTCTCTATTCAAAATGGCGCTATATAGGGGTAAAAAATTAGAACGCTTAAAAGAACCAAAAATTACTCATATTTTGCTTTTTATCTTCTAAACTAAAAATATTTTGTTAAAAGATATAGAACATAATTTGTGCAGAATTAGAAGATCTTTCGAATGATATGTCGGAAAAAGGGCTGACCCCTAAATTAAGGGATCTAGAGGGGCCACAAGTTTTTTCCAGATATCTCAAAAAGTATTGAGAAGTTATCATACATCAAAGAAGCAAAGTTGTTGAAAATGTCAAGCTTAATTTAATGGAGTCGTCTAAATACTTCCAGCATCGTCACTTCCGGCCAAACCGAAAGTAGTCGGAAAACGCGTATTTTTGCCGTTTTTGACAAGTTTTTGGATAACATACGTCTCTGGGAGCTTAAAAATTAATTTTCCGTGCGTCGTCGTCACTTCCGGTCAAACCGGAAGTAGCAAAAATGGCTTATTTTTGCATTAATTAACATAGCTTTAAAGGATTGAAAGCATTTTTGGGCGTTATTTCTCATTTTTGTAAAAAATGAAAGCTACTTCCAGTCAAACAGGACGGAAGACCTACTCGTTGCTTTGCAACGAGCTTTGCTCTAGTTGTAACGTATTTTAGAAAATAAATACGTCACCAAGCATAAGATATCTTCAACGGTGTCTCTTCTCTTTTGGTCATTATCCGAACACATGTACTCTGTTGATGTTGTGGAATCTTGGCCCATTGTCCACACTGCTTTATTATCCCTTGTATTCTGACTCTTAGGCTGACAGTCTTTGAGAAAAAAGATGGTGCAGAATATGAGGGAAAACTTCAGCAACCACATCTTTCGGGCACTGAACAGTTTCCTGGGAAAGCAATACAAGACAAGCTAATATATAAAAATAGGAATGCATATATGAGTATATACATGTACTTACAGTGTATCATTTTTTAGCTTCGTTTATAAGGACGACTATTGTGTGGTGCAAATCGACAAGTCAAAAAAAAAACAACTTACCATCTTAATATACGCATTGTTTATTGCCTCACATTCCGTATTCTGTAAATATATAAAAGTACTACAGTTTGAATGACCACTATCGATTTCTGTTCGATCGATGACATTTAAGTGTGACATAGTATTGGGGTTTAATTCCAGCCATTGTGCGGGTACTAATCTGCCCAACCACTAGCAGAAATGTTAAGTTAGGTCGATGTTTATAGAAAGCAGATTTAAATGTCCGAACTGCTAATTTCTACCCAAACTATTTCTTTTATTTATGTTTTGTTTGTACATGTATTGATGCTTTTAATCAGATGGGTATTTAAAAGCCCAATTTACAATACATTCTGCGGTATATTTTCACATGATATCATTATACATGTACAGTTTGCGTAAATACTAGAGCCATTTTTTTTTCTATTGGAAAATCAATTTTAAATATAAAAACTTCTTCCAACGTTGTTTTGGTGTACGATTGAAATGATAATTGTCGCCCATTTCGTGTGAGCTTCATATTTTAGTACTTACATGCACATGTATATGGTAAAAATGAATATCATATATTGATATAATTTGATGAGTAAAACAACACTGTTTCAATGGTCACCAAGAAGATGTTCAATTTTGAAAAACATAATTCGCTGCCAAGACTCCAATGTAAAATTCAAGGTGCAATTCATTAGGCAAAAATAAAATTTTTGTAAATTCCTTTGGTGGAGCATTTTTATTTGATAACATCTTCAAAATGCTACCATGATTAAAAATATCGGACCATTCATACAGTAGGAACATTTTATGCCGCATAGAAATGTGTAATCTAGATGAATATTGATAAAAGTTCAATTTAAGGATGTACAACACACCTACCCCAAAAAATTCCTGTCGTTTAATTTTCGTTATTTTTGTATATTTAGTACATGACTATATCTACTGCAGGTATGCACATTTTGGACAAAATCCTTCGAGTGGTTTTTG